TGCTTCTCTTCAGCAGGGACAGGGAAGCTGGTCAGAGTTGATGGGAAGATGGATGGAGCCAAATACAGGGCAATCTTGGAAGAAAACCTCTTGGAGTCTGCAAAAGACTTGAGGCTGGGGCGGCGGTTCACCTTCCAGCAGGACGGTGAACCTCACGTGTACGCCACTTTGTGTTGGTCTTTCACGTGGAATTCCAATAAAAATGATTCATGTTTGTGGCTGTAATGTGACAAAATGTGGAAAAGTTCAAGGGGGCCGAATACTTTTGCAAGCCACTGTATGTACAGGAGCAGATTAGGGCAGAGTGTACACACCCGAGAGCACAGCTGAACAGCATCAGACTCACTAGACAGGGGAAGCAAAACTGAACCTAACACAGGAACCAGAAATAAACAGACATGGAGACATGACTTACTGGGGGCACAAAAGGACGGAACACAGAGAGATGATAAAGGGATAAACACAGGGACCAGGAGATAGAGTGACCAGACAGACACAGGGGTATGACCGGGGAGACAGAAGGAATAACCAAACACAGAGACAAGACTGATTTCCACAGGGTCGCTGATGACAAGACAAGAGACGAGATTGGGACAGACAGGGAACTAACATAATGAAACAAGAACCAAGAACTAGAAATATCTCTAGAAGTAGAAGAAGTATCTCATAATATTTGCAAAGAAATAAATCATAAGAACAGAACAGGCTCAGTGATCCATCACCGTTGGCTTGTGTGTCAACATTAAACAACTTATTAAAAGTCAGGGTCCATCTGCAGACAGGATCGTGTGTGTTATTGTGCCTCCATGAGTGTGGGAAAGGTTCAGTCCTTGTCCTTCAGGTTGCACCAAGAGTAAGGTAAGTTCAGCCTTCACATTTGGAGGTTGGAGAAGTGTCATCATAAAGAACCATCTGAGGGGGGAAATAAATAAGTTAGCAGAAGCTGTCAACAGACAGAAGATTTTCACTTCAAGTTGTTTTGTTCATATTTTTTTATCTATCTATATCTATATATAGTTTTATATTGTATATATATATATTGATTCCTTTTTCTGTGAAAGCTTTCAAAGTTTATGTAGGTTGTGTGGGTATTGTTGAGAGTCCATATCATAGCTGGTATGCTCTTTGCAGGGCCGATATTTAAACTGCCACAGATTTAAGTAGAAATATTCGATTTACAAAACCAGTGGTTCTTCATCATTGTCATTTTTATGTTTTTTTTATTTAGTTTTCCTTTCTATTTGAAATTCAATTTAGTTTTAATTTCCAGGGTGAGTCAGTTCAAGTGTGAATAAAAATGTGTTTTAGTTATACGTAACTGTGGTTGCCAGTGACAACACTGTATACAGATATTCTAAAACATTATATTATGAAACAACTTCAGAAGAGCATTCAGCTTTTTAACAGGTTAATTCTTTTATTCAACAGAAAATCACTGACTGTGTCTGTCTGTGCATTGTACTGGGGGTTTCACTGAGCTTTGCTCTTATTTGTACTCAAAAGGCTTAACAAAAGCACAGACTCTAAACCAAAACAAACACCAACATCATGAACAATAAAACCAAAATACTGCAATCACAGAACAATTATGAGGTGTAAAAATTCTGATATTACTGGTTTTAACATTACGTAAAGATATTTGATTGACTGTTAATATAATTGCAGATTAGCGAAATTTTCAGTGAAAAGAAAACTTTAAATAGAAACAGATGAATGATTGATCTTGGACTGAAATAATTTTCTCATGAACATTAACCACAAAGATGACCATGAAGTTAATCACTGCCCTTAAAACACGACTCTGAATTGGTAGCATAATGATGATTTAACTTTATAGTCTTTGTGTTTTTGAATGTAAAATCCTTGACTGCAGTTTTAGTGGATTTAGCAAACCGTGAAATCACTCCTTGTTTCCTTCTTTTTATTAAGTAGTACTTAATACTAAAGTACTTAAACTTACAGAGAGAATAAACAAAGATAAGTCACCTGAGTCTGGTTGTGGTCTGAGCTTCTCCTGTTTAAATCTGTAGAAAACACATTACCATTGTCTAATCAGTCATGGCACTGTTGAACCACTGAACTACTGTCCCACCTTTTAATTAATTTAATTTAATTCTGCTCTTAAAGGTGCAGAAAGAATCGTTTGGACTCACCATTAGAATGAACTGCCCTTTTTTTATAGATGAGCAGCAGAACAACAGGCAGAAGAAACACAGCCAATACCACTATTATAACCACAGGCAAGAGGATACCTGTAGGAAAGAAGATGCAATTAACGAAGCCAGAATAACCTCCACTATATGCACTGCAGAGTAGGTAAGAAAGGAACTCTGTTCATGTCCGTTGGCTGAGAGAAAATCTTATAAAATGTAGAATAATGAACCTGAACTTGCAGGTGATGTTTTAGGCTGCTTGGTGCTTTCACTGAAGGCTGATAAAGGTAAGGTGCTTCCTGAAGTAAAACTCCATGTTAGTGGTCGTGGTGATGAAGGCAGATGTGCTGACGATGAAATGGGTTTCACATGGGATTTAGTCTTGAAAGTTGAAGCTGAGAACAAAGAAACAATCAGAACAACACTTACTGCTCAAAGCAGTCTGTAACCAAAGAAAGTTCACTAATATTCTAACAACACAGTTGTTCTCAATATGCGATAAACTAAATACACATATAATCCTCAGAGACATGAAGGTTTTCGTGACTTTCTGTAGAAACTCACCTTCTGTGACAACAACTTCAAAATCCCAGTTTAAAGATAAGTGATCTGAAGGTGTTCTGTCCAAAGAGCACCTGTACCGCCCTGAGTCAGACTTTTCCAGCTCAGTGATGCTCACATAGACAACTGTATGAATGAGAAAAAATCCTTCTATATATTTAATACTATATCTGCCACTCTGGGCTGAATCATCTGTTGTTTCAATGAGAATATTTCCTTTTTCACATTTTTCTTTACAGAAGAGCTTCCTGCTTCCAGACAGAGTAAATGAGCATCCAACTGTGATGGTTCCTCCTTCCATTCCAGTGCGGATGGGAATGACTGCACCGACAACACCAGTGTTTCCATCCTGCAGAGCCGCTGAAAACACGAAAAATCATTATTTACTGTCTTCATGTAAGACAAGACTGCTTTATATTTAAAGATACACATGTTGCTTTGATTTTAAACTATTTAAAACGTTCTAATCAATTCTGTTTACAGATACTCTACATAAAAAACGTCAATCATGATCGCAAAGATCTAGATTGTTGAGAATTGTTTAAAAAAAAAAACAACACGAAAAGTCATACAACGATTTTTGATACATTAGTTCTGAATTTAAAATTTACCAGTAGCCCAAAGTAAAACTCCATACTGTGTTGCAGTTGTCTTAGAGAATTACTACAACTTACACATATGAAAAAGAACATTTTCACATGACCCTGTGTATACACAGGGTCATGTTCACATGACTCAATCACAGAAGTACTTCTGTGATTGAGTAGCTTGCTGAAGCACCATAGCAGTGGTACCCTGAAGTCATTGCTTCTAACATAAAAGTGTTTGTTTTATCAGCCTTTCATATCTTTGTGGACACAAAGATATAGCCCACTCTTATTTACAGTGTAGGCTCAGTTCAGTCGAGGCTTGCAGGTATTCATTTGTGCACTGCTCTCTTAAGTCCCACCAAAGCATTTTAATCAGGTTGAGGTTTGGACTTTAACAGGGCCATTGCAATATCTTTTTTCTTATATTCTCCCTCGAAGGGAGGCAGTATCAAATTGGTTCCATCCATCCATTCATCTTCTTCCGCTTATCGTGGCCGGGTCGCGGGGCAGCAGCCTAAACAGAGAGAAGCCCAGACCTCCCTCTCCCCAGCCACCTCCTCCAGCTTGGGGGACACTAAGGTGTTCCCAGGCCAGTCAAGAGATAAAATTTCTCCAGCGTGTCCTTCATCTGCCCCATGGCCTCCTCCCAGTGGGATATGCTTGTAACACTTCACTCAGGAGGCATCAAGGAGGCATCCTTATCAGATGCCCAAACCACCTCAACTGGCTCCTTTCGATGTGGAGGAGTAGCAGCTCCATTGAACTCCTCACCGTATCTCTAAGGAAGAGGCCAGCCACCATTTGGAGGAAGCCCACTTCTGCCACTTGTATCTGCGATCCTTGTATCTTTCTTTCGCTCTGTCTTCACACAGTGGACTGATAGAGTGTCCGCATCACTGCAGCAACAGCACCAATCTGTCTGTCGATCTCCAGCTCCCTTCTCCCGTCACCAAGACCCCGAGATACTTGAACTCCTCCACTTTGGGCATGAATTCGTTCCTGACCTGGAGTGGGCACTCCACCCTTTTCTTGCTGAGGACCATGGCCTCAGAGTTGGAGTGGCTGATTCTCATTCCTACTGCTTCACTCTTGGCTGCGAGTGCTAGTTAGAAATCTATCCTTCAAATTCTTATCATATTCTTAAGATTTTGATTCTTAAGATATCATGTTTTGTGTGAAGGCAGACAACAACAACAACTCAAGCTGATTTAAGTTTGGTGAAAATCGGGTCAAGGTCAAGGTCACACCGTTTTGGGGGAGTCTTATTTTTAGGCTTCTGTTGTGATTTAGGTTTTGAGTGCTCAGATGAGTAGAAAAGCGCTATATAAGAACAAGTCCATTTACCATCAGCTCATCACAGCGGTTGATAGGGGGGATAAGGTAATAGCTAAAGCTGATGCTAAAGAGGATGATGAGACAGACGTTAAATAAAGGGTTATTTAACCTCACATTTCAGCCTATCAATCTCAGGCTATGTTGGCTGATTAGTTTTGTCCCAATCATAAAGTGAAGCATCTGATCCACTGATGTCATTTCAGTTGCTGTGTAGAAGATGCTTAAAAAAGATTGTTCTAACTTATTCACAACAATAAAAGGAGACATTGAAGACAAGCCTGGAGCCTGTGAAACTGCATCAGTGTCAGACAAGCTGCCCACTGTTCATGTCTTTGAGCGTGAAATTAGATTTTTGATGTGTTGCTTAATAAGCACAGTTTACTGCCGCACTGCTGTTCCTCTTTAACGTTAGTCTAAAAAACAAACAAACATGTTTTTCGTCACCAGCTCTACAAGGCATGTAGAACTATTTACAACACACTTTATGTAGAATGAAAGGTACACTCTGTGAGTGGGTGGGGATGTTTCAGGCTATTTGTTGATTATAGTTGAATAACCCACAGATCACCTATAAATAAATGAATAAAGCAACAGGAAACAAAGAGGTGGATGTACTTACTGAGGAAGATAAAGGCGATAAAAGTGTGGCAGACTTTCATTTTGATGCTTTGATCGTTTGTCGCTACCTCCTCGTCCTTCTTCACTGGCAAACCCGAAGCGTCTCGTTCTTTTTATGTTTGGGTTCTTCTTCTAAACACAGGACACACTCAGCCCTACTCTCCTCCCCATCTCTCTTTACTCCCTGCATTTGATTTTATTAACTGATATAATACAATGAAAGGATAAAAAATTAAAGCCCCATCTAAATGTTCAAATATGTAGAATTCATGTGGTGACAAATGATCCAGTATAATTCCTGGAGCAATTTCTTCACAAATTTCAGAAGTGGAGTTTTTGGTGTAAATTCGGATCTTCTACTCAGTAAAATCATTTTTTTAGTAGTAATGAAAGACTTACAAGAGCTTAAAGCCATTAACAACAACCAATTAACTAAAGAATAAGTTAAACATAAAGAAAAAGAAAATAATGTTTAAATACAGTTTTTGTCATGGATCCTATGTGTTAGCACATGATACAGAATATAGCGGTGCTTCAAAAACAGATGTCAAGTCATGATTCTGTCTAAATCTTTTTATGAAGTTTTGTCTTCTGCTGGGAGTCATTCCACAGCAACATCAGACATATTTACTTTATTAAAAAGTCAGACCAGATTTTGGGGCAATTTTATACTTCTCTTTTCGGCCCATTATCACAGATCAAAAATAAATAAATAAACATAACTAAAAATCCCCCCTCCATGAATCGGGGTTTGTGTCTCCCACAGATTCCAGGGTGTGTGCTGTCAGTTAGCTTTTGTTCCCTGGTAGGGTCTCCCATGGCAAATTGGTCTGGGTGAAGGACCCGACAAAGGCACTTATCAGTGTAAGCTCAAGGGAACAGTTCACCCTGCCTGGGATAGGGTTACCAGGGCCCTGCCCAGGAGACAGGCCTGGAAGGGGGGGCCCAAGGGAGAGATCTTGGTGGCCAGGTTGGACCGGAAGAAAATGGGTGGATGACAAAAAAAAATCCCCCCAAATAAATAAATGAAATTGTGTGTAAACACAATAACTCAAAAAGGTTTGTGTGAATTCTAATAAAACTTTGGTGGATGTTTGCACTCTCAGAGTGCTTCGTGGTTTTTAGGGTAGGAGGGTTTGTTTTCCCCTCTGGTTCTCAGATGTTCTCAGAGTTTGGAAAACCTGTTTGGAAAGAAGACATACCAATATACCAATGTTTATTATTGCTTTGCAACTTTACAGATCACTTTGATGAGCTGTTATTTAATCCTGATATTTGTCACTACTCCTGCAGCACCCCCAGGTGGTGCCTTTGAATATAAGATGAGCTCTAATTTTGCACCAGAATGAGAAGAGAAGTTATTTTAAACCAAAATATCATAATGATCATAATGCTCAATCTGTAAAATCTTTATCTTTTACTAAAGTGAAGGATAAAGAAGTGTTTAAAGATGTTGTCTGTTGTATCAATCTGTGTCTGTTGTGAAACATAAATTCAGGCCTGGATGCTGGATTATTTGTGCTTTCATGTCTGTTTAAGTGTAAGGTACACTTGGTCTTCATCCCTGCTGGCTGGATCCAGGCTCTGGTATACTGACTCTTCAGGTGGCAACGTCAGAGGATTGTCATAGAGAACAATCTGGAAAAGACAGAATGATGAAAGTAACCCTGTTAAGTCAGAAGCTCTTGAGGTTTGAGGTAAGCACCTTTTGGTGGGGGAACTCCAGGCCTCAAGGGCTGATGTCCTGCAGGTGTCCTACCTCCTCAACATGTCTTGAAGTTCTCCAGAGGCCTGGTAATGAACTAATCATTCGATTCAGGTGTGTTAACTCAGGGTGATATCTAACACCTGCAGGACACCGGCCCTTGAGGCCTGGAGTTGCCCATCCCTGATATATAGTGATAATAAGGACTACAATATCCAGAATGGCTCTAGGCATTCTGGGTAATGTAGTGCATAGAATGAGGCAGTAGGAATAGTGCCATCATTATCGTTGTTCTGGCTGAGTATAAAACTTTTGGGCCAAGTCAGTGTACTATAAGCGCTGCTCTATGCTGTTTATAAAAGATGCAAAACAAGATTCCTCCCCCTGCCTTCATTGGTATTCGTCATGTTGACATCATAAACAATAGATTCTGTTCAAATTACCTCGCTCTTTTCATAATTCTGAATTTTCTGTTTCTTCAAACCTGAAAACGGTAAAACACAGAAAAGTATTAGACAAACATGAAATATTCTTAGATGTAAGGCTGGTTGGAGACTATACACTCTGTGCGCTCCACAAATGTCAGCAGTCAGTCACAGGGTTAAAAATCCACACATTAGAATCACTAATCAGCTTATCATAAAGGTGCCAAAGAGGTGAAACATAACTCACAAGAGTCCGTAGTCGTCTTTTTGCAGATGAGCTGCACAACAACAAACAACACCAAAACCACCATGACTACAGCTATAACCACAGGCCAGAGAAAACCTGCAGAGAGAAAAGAGAAGACCAAAATATGGGAGAATATAATCTTTGTATAAAAACTAGTGTTCTTATATGTGTATGTACGTATGTATTTATGTATAGAAAAACTACCCCTTCATGTTTCTGTATTGAGAGAAATAACTTGTGAAATATATTTCACTGCACCTGAATTTACAAATGTTATTTCAGGCTGTTTAGTGATTGTTGTGGAAGTTGAAAAAGATTGCGGGCCCAATGCTGGTGTTGAAGCTGTTGATGCTGCAAACAGGGACACAATCAGAAACATTACTGATGTAAAGAAGTTATCAGTGAGCAATGAAAATATTATCCTTTTTTTTTAGAGTAAGGTTGTGGAGCATTTTAATGATGACTAGTAAAAACTCACCTTCCGTCACCGTGAGCTGAAAGCTATCAAACAAATATGGATCCAAGTCTCTGTCCAAATAGCACCGGTACAGCCCCGAGTCAGATTTTTCCAGCTGTGTGATGCTGACATAAAAAACTGCATGA